TCGAGTATTCGTTTACTGCTTTCCCCAATTCTTCTTCTTCTTCTTCGTGTACACATTTAATCGCACTTAATTATCTATTTTCAATTAAGTCCCTCTATCAAAGTTAGTATCAATAAAATAAGAAGAAAGAAAGAAAGAAAGAAAGATTAGAAACAGAGTTTTCATCGAGTTTGTCGTAAGAGGGGTCCTGAGAAATAACGGGTTCTCTGTCAATGGGGTAATTGAGATTAGCGAGTTAAAGGGACGTACTTTTAAGAACGGTTTAAATGACCTTTTTCCTTGATGTTCGGTTAAATCGGTTTGTCTCACTTTAAGGGATGAGGAGGAGGGAGGAAGAAGGAGGGACACCAAAAATACAAAGAGACGTTGCGAAAAAGATAAAAAAAAAAATTGAGGGAAACAAAAATACTGACAGGACGAAAGCCGAGAGATGAAGAAAATAAAATAGAAAAACTGAAGGGGAGGGAGAGAAATGAATAAAAAAAAAAAGAAATAAAAAAGAAGAAAATAAGTAAATTAAGTAAGTAAGAAAGAAAGAAACGAAAATAGGATCAAATGTAAAATAACTATAGGTACAATATTTGTAGAAAAGAGAGAGAAGAGTAGAATAGGGTGGAAGGGTGGTAAAGAAGGGGTGGAAAACGGAGTGAGAAGGGAAGGGAGTAATTTTCAACCCCTTTTTTTTCCCTTTTCCTTCTACTCTTCGCATAAGACCAATGAGTGGGAGTAAAAGATTGAAGTGGGGGGGATGAAAAGAAAGAGTGGTGGATGACGCTTGCGCAAAATCAACCCTACGCACCACCAGCACGTAATGTCACCCTCGAGCCAGTCTGACGCCAGGCGCCGCGAAGATATGACGTCACTGTTTCGCGCTTTGCCTAAGTATTTTTCTCGCCAAGCTCGGTAAGAAATTAGCTGGCTAATTAATTAACCAATCAACCAACCAACCAACTGATCGACCAACTCAACTCAACCAACCAATCAACCCCCTGCTTGCTGATATATTTCTCATGAATGAAATCTCGCTATTTTCGACGACTCGCGAGGAAGATTTAAAATTTATTATTATACGGATATCATCAACACAATTCACATTTCATTATATTATATTAACGAAGTATTATATTTTAACGTTATGATTTTATTTTGAATATTTTCTTGATCGGTTATTCGTATAATACAGGAGTAAGAAAGATTGTTATAAAGAGAAAAGGGAGAGAGGGTAATACGTTGAGAAGGGGGTGGAAAGAGAGAGAGAGAGAGAGAGAGAGAGAGAGAGAGAGAGAGAGAGTAGCCAATACCGAAAATTCCTGGACCACCTCTATCGACTCGAGACGCAGTCCGATAGTCAAGCCAAGCAGTACAGCTTCCTCTTTCCGCATTGCGATTTTAAAACGCATAGTATATGTATATATATATATATATACATCCCATTTTTTAATATATTATTTATTGTATTCTTTTGTTAATTATTAATCATTATATTTTAATCGATAGGATTTTATATATACGTTCTATTTATATTTATTTTATTCATTAATTGTACTTTTTTTCTTGTCTATTTTTGAACCGTTCATTCATTCATTCATTCATTCATTCATTTGTTCTTTCTTACTTTCTTGTTCTTATGATTTATTTCTTTTTGTGATTTTGATTTTTTTTCCTTACTTCTTGATCTGATTTTCATTTGGTGGTTATGCTTATGCCTTCCATCCATCCCTTAACGAGTTGACGATGACGATTTAAGTGGAACCGTTGCTAAAAACATAAAACACCCAACCCACTCACCCACATGATACTCGTCGTGTGCTGCTGCTGCTGCTGCTGCCACCCACCGCGGGGTTTGTCAATATCTGCTGCTGCTGCTGCTTTAGTTTATGAATGGGAAAGATTTTACGTGTGTGTGTGTGTGTGTGTGTGTGTATACATCTTCTACAGAAATCCTACTCCTACACAGTTCAGCAGAGCGCACACGCGTGCAAACCAGACGTTTATCTGCGTCGATAACCAGTTGCGTCGATTTGATATAAAAAAAAAAAAAAGGGTTTACAGTTATTGCTCTCGGCTATCAACTGCAAAATCGATTCAATTCTTTCATTTTAAAAAACCATCCCCCCCCCTCGCTTGTGTTATTTTTTTCTTTTCTTTTTATCTTTATTCATACGTATAAAATACACACACGTACGCACACATTTGAATTTTTTCTTTCGCGCGGTTGAACTATCATCGTTCCGTTGGGTTTTTTTCCCCTCCCTCCCACCCCCTTTTTTTTCTCTTTTTCCAGATATATATTTTTCACAAGTTCCCTTTTTTTTCTTTTTTATTTTTTATTTTTCTCTCTCGACTACATTTTTCTATTTGGCTTCGGAATAAGGTACGCATCGTAGGATATGAAAAGAAATCCCATTCGCGAATTCGAAACTAGAGCTTAGCCTTTTCTATTATTTTCAATTGTTATCTCGATTCCGACGAAGGGGAAAAAAAACCCACCCTCCTCCTACTCCTCGTCTCTCTCTCTCTCCGATTTTATTCCGACTGAAAAATCCAAATTTTCGAGTAGCATCTATTTTCTCTCATTCTCTACTCTCTCTCTCTCTCTATTTTCTTTTTTTTTTTCTTTCATTCGTTCATTCATTCGTCCCTTTCTTTATTTCGTTTCTTTTTTTTCTTGCCCTTTTTTTTCTTTTTCTTTTTGTTATATGCTTCTTTTCGTAAACGAAAACGCATAGATGAGCGCGCGCACCTGTTCGTGTCGTGTCAAAGAGAAAGAGAGAAAAAGAGAGAGAGAGAGAGAGAGAGAAAGATAGATCGAGGTCAAGGGTGCAGCACGACCTCGACCGGAAGTGAATCCTGCTTAACCGAAGATAAAGGGAGAAACTTAACGATCTTTTTGCGATTTTTGTCTTATCCCATTCTAAATGGGTTTTCCCACAATTGTTCTCTCATTTTATCTTTCATTTTTCTTCAATCTATTATTTCATTTCATGATTAAACACATCATTAATGTATTTTTATTATCTATCCAATTATATCAGTTGAAATATTTATTCGAGGATCTCGTAGAAATGTTTCTCATTTCGATATGAAATAAATCAATATTTTATTCGTACAATTGTATTGTTCGATAAATGAAATTTGATATTGTATTTTTTTTTGTTTTATATTTCATATGAAATGAATTTAATTGAAATGGTTTAGTTCAATTCACAGGATAGTTATTAATAAAATCTATTTAGTTATTTAATCGAGTAAGTTATATAGAATCAATCATGTTGTTATATATATATATATATTGTATATATATATAGAACGGTGACAAGAAGCAATTATCTTCCTATCAAAGAGTCCTTGAACGTCTTCATTAAAATGAGGGCAATGATAAAATCGTATTAAAAAAATTTTTAATTACGTTTCCTCAAACATCTTACTTTAGATTCTAAGTCTTTTTCCCCAATCTTTTCTTTTCTACTTTTTCTTCTTTTTTCAATTTAGTATTTTTATTATTTCGAGAGAGAAATATATTTCAATTAAAAACGTAAATGATAAATAAAATAAACGAATGAAATAACGAACGTGGTATAAATTTTTGTAGAATATATTTTCGAAAAATTAGATAATATTATATTGTTCTTTTTACCTTGATAGAAAATAATTAAACAAAAGGAAATCACAAACGATCAATTTGAATTTGTTTCATTTTGTTTTATTTCAAGCGAATTATTAAGTCGTAGGATAGATTTTTGTTTGATTTAATTTGATTTGATTGGAAAGAAAAATGAATAGATTTCAATAGAGAACAAGATTGTTCAGTTTACAAAAGTGAATTCCTTCGTATATGATTGTTTTTCTTGATCGCTTATGGGACAATAATGGAAAATTAAGAAAAAAGGAAAGAGAATGAGAGAATTCTCGAAGGTAATCGAGTCGTCGAAATCGAAGTAGCGAGATTCGATGAGGATCGAACTAGAACGAGATTATATCGGTAAAGCACCGAAGTATAAGGGATTCGACTGGCTTTCCAACAGCAAACTTCTTCAGACGTCTCTTGAGAATCGGCCAAAGAAGTGTAACATCGCAACGTGAAATTATCGAAAAGTTTTATCGGAACTTTTACGTATATGATGTTCTCGTTTCAACGATGAACTAAAACTTTATATAAAATATATCCAAATTGAATTTTTTTTCGTAAGAAGAGGAATAAGAAGAAGAAGAAGAAGAAACAAAAGAAACTTTTCTCGTTGACCTAACAAATATTTTTTCCAATATACAAAAAAAGAATAGAGTAAAAATTTTCTATCCCATTCGATTGTTTTTTCTTTTTCTTTCTGTTGCAAAAATAAATCAACGAAGTAAACGAAAATTAATAACAATTTAATCGCAAACAAAGTGTTATTTGTTATTGTTGTTATTGTTATTGTTGCTGCTGCTGCTGCTGCTGCTGATGTTGCTGTTGTTCGACTAATTTTATTTTCTCTTTGTTTGTTAACACCAACACGATAATGTGAAATTGTTTGTACAATTGGAAATATTATTTCGATTGAGAGTGCAAATCAATCGTATATAGAGGGGGATAAAAAAAAAGGGAATAAGAGAGAAGATAAACATATATATATATATATATATATATATATAAAATAAATAAAGAGTGAAAAATTGGACAAACAAAGTGATTTTCTTGAAAATAGAAAGGTAGGAAAGAGCTTTGAAGGATAAAAGGTAAATCTTTTTACGGAGAACGATTTTTTCGAGTACATATATTTTCTCTCTCTCTCTCTCTCTCTTTCTCTCATCGAATTCACCTAAGATACAAAAAATATAGCAACGATGCACGTTGAACGGTGAGAGTTATTTCTATCCCGGTGAAAAAAAAAAGAGAAAACATATTTATTGCGGTATTCGAATATTCCTCGAGAAAAGGGAGAAAAGTTTTACTCGTAGGAGGAAAAAGTAGAAGAAGAACATAAAAAGAAAACAGGGAAAAATAATAAGAAGAAAGAGAAGTAGAAAAGAAGAAGAAGAAGAAGAAGAAGAAGAAGAAGAAGAAAAAACAATAAGAAAACGACGTTAATTGTTAACAAAAATGGGCAAGAAAAATAGCAAACTCAAGCAGGAAACTATCGAGCGACTTACCACCAATACTTATTGTAAGTACAATTAAATAATAATAATAATAATAATAATTAACAAAAATAAAGAGATAGAGAAAGGTAGAGGGATACTAAAAAAAAAGATAGCAAAAATATTTCTCCGAGAAGAATATAATTTAACAAAAAAAGAAAATTATTAATAATCATTATAGGTACTTTTCTAATCTAACTTTTCGAATTATTTTATATATAGAATTTTGTTTACGGACGAATTAATTCCAATATATAAATTATAATTACAAACTAAAATAATATAGAGAACAAAAAAAAACAAAAAAAATGATTTAACTAATAATAATAATAATAATAATAATGAAATAAAATTGTTGAATATAAATTAAAGAGAAATGAAAATTGAGGTTTGCAAAAATGTTGCTGACGTTTTTATCAAACCACTAACATTTGTGCAATTTTATGAAACACGCTTTTTATTCATGTTCATATTATTATTATTTTTTTCTCTCTCTCGCATTCTCTCTCTCTCTCTCTCTCTCTCTCTCTCTCTCTCTCTCTCTCTCTCTCACATTTTGTTTCATGATCGTGGTGTACAGACCAACTTTAGAAATGTTCCACTTTCGTATTGTTCCCTTTGTAGCGTCTCTTGCATCCGTCGTTTACCACGTTTCTACTCGATAGAGAAATAATAATACTATGCGAGAATGTACATCAGATAGAAGAATCGAACCTCGAGGAACGCGTTCCTCTTTCATCTCAATGAAAAATAAAAAATCATTACCGAGTTATTCGGTGTGAATGATCCTTAATTTTAGAAAATTTCAAATATCAAATATCCTCCCAATTTCACAATTGAATTATTTTTATAACTTATTAATAATAAATACAAGAAAAATAATACATTGAATTATTGTAGATTCAAATATTATATTATACTATATAATACACACACACATATATATATATATATATGT